GTGGCATTGCGTCCCAGTCTGCAGTGCCCCCCTGTCTGTCTAATTCCACGGGTGCGGCGGGGCCACTTTCTAAGCGTCAGCCGGGACATGGAGCGTATGCATCCCCTGTAGTCTTTAAAGAGGGTGACTTACATTCCCCTGGGCTCCTGTGAGAATGACTGTGATGACAGTGACGTTCACCAAATGGGCCGCAGGCATCTGTGTGGCTGGAGATGCTGCAATGTAGGTAAATTACATATTGTCACACTGCAATTTTTACGTCACCCTTACAACATGCCTTACCACGCACTGACTCACTTTTTAGGTTATGTAAGTGACGCAGTAAAATTTTACTTTTACTTAACGCTCAAAAGTTTGGGGTTAGTAAGATGTTTTTTTTATATACTTTTATTCAGCAAGGATATTAAATTGAGCAAAAGTGACAGTAAGACAATGTTACAGAAGATGTCTGTTTCATTTAGATGCTATTCTTTTGAAGAATCCTGAACAAAAATACATCAGTTTCCACATAATATATTAAGCAGCACAACTGTTTTCAACATTGATAACAATAAGTAATATTTCTTCAGCAGTAAATCAGCATATTATAATGATTTCTGAAGGATCATGTGACACTGAAGACTGGAGTAATGATGCTGAAAATTCAGCTTTGCCATCACAGGAATAAATTACGTTTTAAAATATATTAAAATAGAAAACAATTATTTTAAATGGTACTAATATTTCACAATATTACCGTATTTTTGAGAAGAGACTTACTGACACCAACAGTATATTATGTGGCATATTAACAATAAAAAAATATATTTAACTTAAAAGAAATAATGTACAGTGGAATGGCTTTAGTGGCCGAAGGTCTATTTCACCTTCAAAAACAAGAATGTAACCCAAAATCTACAGTTATTTGCTTTATTGCAGTAACAGTAACTTTTAAAAATATTACATTAGCTGACATTGAATTGCAATGAATTACTGCAATAACTATTGGCAAGATTTTAGACAAACACCAGCTGAAAACAATGACTAAAGAGCTATAGTTAATATTAATGTGTTAATATTCACCCAAAGTCTGTGTGGACATTAATCAAGGAATGTTATTTCAGAAGTAAAGCATTTTTTTCTTCTTTAAAAAAAAAAAAAAAAAGATATGAATTGCCTATAATAAGCACAAACTTGTACCAAAAAAGGGAAAAGGCTTGATTTTAGATTAAAGTGTAATAAACCTGTTTTACTTCCTTTATATATAATCCATTTCAGAGTTCAACAAGATTTTAACCATCAGCAACTGAGTGAATCATGAAAAGTGCGCCTCACATACCAGAATGGAGATGATTGGAGCAGAGCAGCTGAAAAATAATAGGGATTCGTGACGTCATCCAAAAAGGACTGTAATTTCAGAGGCGAGACACTGAAACAAAAGCCATTACATTTTGATTAAAGATTATTATTAGAAGACAAATGGTTTTATCATTTACTTTAAGAAAATAAATAGGTTTGATTTTATGTTGACTATAGGGTTATCACTGTTAACCAAATCATTACAAATATTCTTGATTTAAATAAAGCTGAAATAAAATAAAGTATAAATATTAGATGAAACACCTAAATGAAACAAAAATGACAAATGTTGCCTCGGCAACACTAAAATCACTAACTGGAAATAAATCAATAAAAACTCAAAATAAAAATAAACCTAAAAAGTGATATTTAAAAACTATTATAAAATAAATAAAAAATAAACTAAAATAAAAATAAATTAAACCTAAATAGTAATATTTTTTAAATATATATATAATAAAAAATACAATAAAAACTATGTAATAACAAAAAACAAAAATATCAAAATAAAAGCTAATTGAAAATATGAATAAAAACTGTAAATACTACATAAATACTACAAAAATAACACTTAAACTGGTGAACACAATGTACATGAACAAACCAACGCCAGTCCAGTAGTGTGCTTTCCATCACTTATAGTTTCCTTTATTCTGTTACAAACATACATAGCATTTTCTAAATATAGACTTTAAAAAAAAGGTTTAGCCATGGGAAAAATGGAAGGCCGCCCGTTCTGATAGAGGCAGTCTAGTGCGGGGGGCGGGGCTTGATGGGATGGGTGGAGATACTTTGAGTATCTGAGACCTGAGCTCTTGACAGTGTCCTGCAGTAGCCATGAACTAGCTCCGTAACTTCAGTATCAAGTAACAGATAGAAAATGAATCGAGCAAATATATATATATATATATATATATACGGAGAATGCCAAGAACCTGAGTTTAAACCAGACGAGGGCATTCCGACGTTAAAATATCTGCTGAACACTTAAGATAGTGGAAAAATAGCTACCTTTCGATAAAGATTGTTCTATGAATTGCTGCCCTTGTGCGTACAGTCAGGAAAACGTGGTTGACACATGGATGCTGTTAAGAGCTCGGGTGAGTCACCTGAATAACAGAACATTCTTTCAGAAGTTTTCCAATCGTTCGTACAGTGGTACAGAGGTATTGTTCATTCGAAAAGTATGCGGACGCCCCACACAACTTTGCACAAATCCCAACCTCAGGAAACAGGACGACAAATCGGCCAATTTTTGACAGGAAATGAACTCATAATCCCAACCCTCTGGATGAGTATTGCTTCCTGTCCCTTTTTGTTGTTTGTTTACTGACAATAAGGCGGAAACAAAACACAAACGTTTACAGCACATATATATTTATATATAACACATCTGAAATAAACACAGCCAAGTTCAGTCGAAAGAAAGTCCATTTCTGGTGTTCTGCGAGAGATTTGTGCCCGATTACGTATTTGAAATGAACGAAAAAAGTGCTGCGATATTCAACTCCACTTTGAAGCTTAGCAGCCAAGAGGGTTTTAATGCATCTGTCCCTCAAAGTGAAGAAAAAATACTTTCAAATGGCTTTTTGTTGTCATTTACATGTTTGAAACAATTAGTCTCAGTTTTTCCACATGACACATTCACTATTAGTACTGATGGGACATGCAATTAAAATTAATGCACAAACGCTGCCGATTTAGACGCCAGCGTAACCACAAAGTGCTAAAAACATGGCAAATCTCCTTCCTAAAGCGAGCAGCGAGTCGTGTTGTAAAGCCAACTCAGCCCCCCTCGAGTCCCGAATGGTGCCTCCCATCTACAAATGCTCAGTTTAGCGGAGCAACCCGAACAGCAGCTGAGGAGGGGGGGAAACGCAAGAATGTCCTGCTAACAGCTGCTGTGTCACGCTTTCTATTGCCGTTTAGGCTCGGCTGCCAAACCGGGGCCTGTTTTTTAAGGTTGCACTGAAAACACTCAATGCTGTATGCTACGACGTCAAACGACGGGTTTTTCTCCACTATACGGTCTGCTGATGTAATAACATTTGCAGTGGCGTGCAAACGACTCAACAATCGGGCCCTTGTGCCTCGCCGCACTACAGAGCAAACGGCACAGCTCAATCCACGGCCGCCAGGGCAGGAATGCTCACTCTGTTCATGCTTCTCGCATTAAAATAGCTGGCCTGCTAAGTCAGAGCGCTGTTGAGGAGAAACAGCTGCTGCAATCATGGAAGTACAGAGAACGAGCGCAGAGATTGGCATCCGTTAACAATTCTGCGGCCAACAAATAAGAGTGTGTGAAAATATTTCATAACACGGGATGCAATTCGTCCATCTTGCGTTTTAGGAAGGATCACAGCAGTACACATGACTTCGACAGCTGCCATTTAACACGAAACAGGTCAAAGGAGGCTTTACAAATCAGCACAAAACTCTGTTGCTCCCAAATAAAAAAAAAAAAAGGTTGTTCAATTCTTCGCCGTGGATGCAAGCATATCGCATTTTGTGTTTTTGCTAAAGTGCATGGATGAAATGTGTTTGACGTCGTTAACAATCTTTCTCCATCATAACCCACTGGTCTACTTGGTTATTTTTATAATATTTTTGGTGAAAGGCTAAACAAAAATCTCGCATTAATATAGCTGCAGATACTACGCAAGAGAAAGCAATAAATTAAATAAAAAGGCAAATGCAGGACGGGCATGCACAGAAATGGACGCACGAGACCACTGGAAAGATGTTTGATATTAATTGCGTAGAAAGAAAACGTAATGAAGTGCGTGCTGTAAATTCAAAAAGGTTGTGGGAGGAGCTTGGGAAGGTGACGTTTCGCAAGGCTAATCTAGTCTTCCACAAAACAAATACACTGGACAGTCTTCCAATCCCAGCTTATTTCTCTTTTTTACAAAATTAGCTTCTTGAGCTTTAATTATTCTGTAGTTTATATATAATTTTTACTTTGTGTATTCAAAAATATGCTGGTTTTTTTTCGTATTCTCTGATAAAGAACAATCTCACATAAATAAAAAAGACAACGCAAAAGGGGACGGGGTGAAAATACACTCGCCCATGTAGCTCTGTCCTTTATATTAACTAATATCACGCATCTATTGACTTAAGCAATCTGTCCTTAAATATTCAGAGGGGACTTGGACCCAAGTCGGAAAAAGACTAAGCTTTTTGTATGTTGACCCCAAAACCAAAATATATCACCATCACTTTATAGCACCGGTGGAAGGATGTGCACAAAGCAACCATTTTCATCAATAATGCCTGTAATAAAGTCAGATTATGACTTTAAAAAGTCTCGCCATGAACAGCCGAGACACACAAACTCAAAACCAGGGGGTCAAAATGCTCCAAATCTGAATGCTCAATCAAATTGACCAAACCATAAAAGTCATGTTGATGCAAGAACAAAAAAGGGAACATCTTGGGGAACATCTGTCTATAAAAGGGAAAAAATAATCTGGGAACAAAACTTCTGATATACGTTTAGAAAGTCCCATGCTGCCTTGGTAGGAAACACACCATGAAGACCAGTGACGCTATATATAGTATATATATATAGCCTGGTTCTATCATATACGTGCCGCTTTGGAAATTCAGCAGCCTTGGCGTTGATGCAACAAAAGTTTAATTATGAGCTAAGACAATTAAACTTGCTGGTTTCACAGGACAAGGCAGCATCAGGAATAAATCAAACCCCATGAGACATCCTTTGCCCCAAGGCTTCAAACTTAGATGACCCCCCTCTCCAAACCCTCACCACATAGAAACTTCACAGATCTATTTTTCTGTCCGATGAATATTTTAGTAGGCTATTTGAGTTCAGTTCATGCACTTATTGTTTCACACATCTCCTGGGGTCAGTCGTCATCCACGTCCTCGCCCTCGGACTCCTCTCTCCTCTCGTACATCTTATCCCGTTGTCTCTCCTGGATCTCCTTCATCTCCTCGGCGTAGCGGCAGAAGGCTCCTCCGAACTTGCCCCAGGCCTTGAAGGGGATGGTGATGGAGTTCCTGTAACTGGGCTTGACCTCGCTGACCCTCAGGAACACGCCGTACTTGTTGGAGCCCACGTCGAAGAAGAACCTCTTGGAGTCCACCATGATGGAGGTGCCCTCGGGGAGCTCGCCGTAGCCCCCCGCGGCCCCGGGCCCCCCACTAAGCTCCTCGTCCTCCCCACCGTAGTCGTCGATGAGCTTGGCGAGCGCGTCACGGAACTCGATCAAGCCCTGCGCCGGGAGCGCGATGGTTTGGCCGGTCTGCACGCCGCCGCCGGGACCGGCCCCTCCTCCGCCGACGCCGAAGCCGGGACCTCGGTTGACGGTCTGGCGGATGCGCAGGAACCTCCCGCGCTGGTTCTCCTTCAAGTCGAGGTAGTATTTGCGGTTCTCGCGTACCAAGAACTCGCTCTTCAACGCCCGCCGCGGGCCTCCGTCATCGCCGGCGGACGACTGCGCGATCTGCTCCGGGCTGCTCGGCCCCAGCTGGGCGTAATGCTCGATGAAATCCCCAAGGTAGTCGCGGAACTCGGCCGCCACGGACATGGAAAGAGTCAGGCGGCTCTTGGAGCCCCCGGCGCCCACCTCCGCTATCTTAATGAAGCGGCCCTTCGCGTTCTGCTTGACATCCAGGTAGAAGCGCTTGTTCTGGATGTCCAGGCGCTTGGACGCCAGCTCCTGGGTCTCCTGCTCCCGCTGGAAGTGCTGGAGGCCCCCGCGCTCGCTCCCGCTGTCTCCATCCGCCATCTTCAGCACCTCCAGCCAACTTCTCCCTCAGAGAAACGCTCCTCTCTGCCCTGCTCCAGCAGGCACGGCTCTCAGCGCCGCAGCATTGGCCTCACATCTGCCAATAACAGGCGACGCGCTCTCGCGGGGTCACCAATAGGTCTGCGCGCTTGTCACTCGGAGCGCGAGGGCGGTGCGTTTGGGCGTCATTGGTTAGAGACGTTTCCTCCTCCTGTGCAGGCATTTCCTGTCCTTCTGGAGCTCAGCTCAGGCTTTGAAGGAGAACTAATAAACATTCTCTTTTTTTTTTCTTTTTTTTTTTTTAATCAGAAGT